GCCAGGAACTCCATCCGGGTCTCCCATGTGGGTGCAGCGGCCCAAACTCTTGGGTGATCTGCTGCTACTTTCCCAGGTGCATTAGCAGGGAGCTGGATTGGAAGTGGAGCAGCCGGGACTCCAACTGGCACCCATCTCGCTGACCCTCCACTTGCCTTTTTAAAACAAAAAAAGCAATTAAAAAATTTTATTTGAAAGAGTTACAGAGAGAGAGAGAGAGAGATCTTCCATCTTCCAACTTTCATCTTCCAGCCAGATCTCTCACTGGTTAACTCACCACATGGGTGCAACAGCCAAGGCTGAGCCAGACAGAAGCCAAAAACCTGGAGCGCCATCTGGGCTTCCCACATGGGTAGCCAGGGCCCAAGTACTTAGGAATCATCTGCTGTCTCTCAGGATGCGTTAGCAGGAAGCTGGATCAGAAGCGGAACAGCAGGGACAGGAACTGGCGCTCATATGGGATGCCAGCATCAAAGGCAGCAGCTTTATCCGCTATGCCACACCGCCGGCAGGCTCCACTTGCCTTTTTTTTTTTTTTTTTTTTTTTTTTGACAGGCAGAGTGGACAGTGAGAGAGAGAGACAGAGAGAAAGGTCTTCCTTTTGCCGTTGGTTCACCCTCCAATGGCCGCCGCGACCGGCGCGCTGCGGCCGGCGCACCGCGCTGATCCGATGGCAGGAGCCAGGAGCCAGGTACTTATCCTGGTCTCCCATGGGGTGCAGGGCCCAAGCACTTGGGCCATCCTCCACTGCACTCCCGGCCACAGCAGAGGGCTGGCCTGGAAGAGGGGCAACCGGGACAGAATCCGGCGCCCCGACCGGGACTAGAACCCGGTGTGCCGGCGCCGCTAGGCGGAGGATTAGCCTAGTGAGCCGCGGCGCCGGCCCTCCACTTGCCTTTCTAACATTGCCACTTGGATATCCAACTGGCACCCACAAAACCAGCCCCCTTCTCTTCCCGGCCCCACCCCGCCCCGCCCACCACCTGCTCCTCCTGGCCCCACCCCGCCCCGCCCATCACCTGCTCCTCCCGGCCCCACCCCCGCCCCGCCCCCAACCTGCCCCTCCTGGCCCCACCCGGCCCCGCCCATCACCTGCTCCTCCCGGCCCCGCCCCCGCCCCGCCCACCACCTGCTGGTCCCCACCCCCGCCCCGCCCATCACCTGCTCCTCCCGGCCCCTCCCCTGCCCCGCCCATCACCTGCTGGTCCCCACCCTCACCCCGCCCATCACCTGCTCCTCCCGAGTCTGCCGTATCATGGTAAATGCACTTTCATCCTTCCAAGAGATGTTCAACAGCTTTCCTCAACATGCGTCAGCAAATCCTACCGCGGTGCTGTCCTCAGTGTGCAGAATCCAGCCACTTAGACTTCCACCCGGCCAGTCCAGGCCATCACCATCTGTCCTCTGGTATTACAATAACTTCCATCTTCTGCCCAATCTGGTGCCACACAGTGGACGGAGATTCTATCATCCATCAGTCAGCTCATGCTGCACTTTGGCCCCAGCCCCTACATCACCACTCCCCACCCCTCCCCAGCTTCGCATCCCATCCAGATTAAAAACCCAGGATTTATCACAGAAATGACCCAGAAGCTCATTTACCACAGCCCGAAACCTCCGCGCTCATCCCAGCCTGGTCACTCCGCCTCCTTAATCTTCCAAGAGGCCACGGATCATCTGAACGCTCTCCCCGCAGGGATTTTAAACCTGCTGCAGCCTGTGCCTGCAAACTTCATTGCCCAGATCCGGGCAAGAGGGGTTCCCCAACTCGCTGCAATCCAGGCTCACTAGTGATGCCTTTCTTCCCCTCCCCCCCACCCCAGGTGCTGATCCTCAGATCCAGGCTCACTAGTGATGCCTTCCCCCCCAGGTGCTGATCCTCAAATCCAGGCTCACTAGTGATGCCTTCCCTCTCCCCCCACCCCAGGTGCTGATCCTCAGATCCAGGCTCACTAGTGATGCCTTCCCCCCCTCCCCCAGGTGCTGATCCTCAGATCCAGGCCCACTAGTGATGCCTTCCCCCCTCCCCCCCACCCCCCAGGTGCTCATCCTCAGATCCAGGCTCACTAGTGATGCCTTCCCTCCCACTCCAGGTGCTGATCCTCAGATCCAGGCTCACTAGTGATGCCTTCCCCCCCTCCCCCAGGTGCTGATCCTCAGATCCAGGCTCACTAGTGATGCCTTCCCTCCCACTCCAGGTGCTGATCCTCAGATCCAGGCTCACTAGTGATGCCTCCCCCCACCCCCAGGTGCTGATTCTCAGATCCAGGCTCACTAGTGATGCCTTCCCTCCCACTCCAGGTGCCCATCCTCTGATCCAGGCTCACTAGTGATGCCTACCCCCCCAGGTGCTGATCCTCAGATCCAGGATCTCTAGTGATGCCTCCCCCTCAGGTGCTGATCCTCAGATCCAGGCTCACTAGTGATGCCTCCCCCCCCCACCCCCAGGTGCCCATCCTCTGATCCAGGCTCACTAGTGATGCCTTCCCTCCCACCCCAGGTGCTGATCCTCAGATCCAGGCTCACTAGTGATGCCTTCCCTCTCCCCCCACCCCAGGTGCTGATCCTCAGATCCAGGCTCACTAGTGATGCCTTCCCCCCCCCACCCCAGGTGCTGATCCTCAGATCCAGGCTCACTAGTGATGCCTTCCCCCTCCAGATGCTCATCCTCAGATCCAGGCTCACTAGTGATGCCTTCCCTCCCCCACCCAAGTTCTGACCTCAGATCCAGGCTCACTAGTGATGCCTTCCCTCCCCCACCCAAGTTCTGACCTCAGATCCAGGCTCACTAGCGATGCCCTCCCCCCGTCCATGTGCTGACCACCCCTGGTCCCCATGAACTGACCGTGGATTTCTTCTCCCCGCATTAGGGTCTTCTTCACAACGACAGGAACTTTGGGTCAGAGTTTGCATGGCCAATCCGCTGAAGGCACCAGAAATGCTAAATACCCTAAAATAAAGATTCGGACACGTTGTTTTCAACGATTACTGTCACGGTCCACAATTCCTCCACTCTTTCTGAACAAACTCCTTTGTCCAATCGTTTCTCACTCACCTTTTATTTATTCCTCCGCTGCCCTTTTTTTTTTTTTTTTCTGATACCGATTTTTTTCAATGATTTTTGCATTCATGAGAGAGGTTGAGTTACAGAGAGGGAAAAACGGAGAGAGAGGTCGGCTGGTCCACTTCCCCAGATGGCCCCAGCACTGGAACCCGGCTGACCTGAAGCCTGGAGCCTCCCCAGGGTCTCCCACGTGGGCGCAGGGGCCCAAGGACTCGGGCCATCCTCCACTGCTTTCCCAGGCCACAGCAGAGAGCTGGACTGGAAGTGGAGCAGCCGGCACTAGAACCGGCGTCCATGTGGGATGCCGGCACCGCCCGTGGAGGCTTACCCTGTGATGCCACAGCACCGGCCCCACCCACTTCTTTTTACAAAGCCAGAAATGTAACCCAATAAAGGATTCACAAAGCGCACACAGCTGTTTCCCGGAGCAGTGCTCGGGCCTCTGCCGAGTTCCCTGTTCATCTTAGCTTCTCGCTCTCTGGGACTTTCCCTGTTCATCTTAGCTTCTCACTCTCTGGGACTGCAGTTCGCCTGTTTTCTTGTTACCTCTGAGCCTAGCAAGGAACAGCTTCGGTTTGCTCCACCCTGTCTGCCTCCCTGTTAGACCTGCCTCCCACCTGGATTCTCTCACAGGAGGTCCACTCCCCGAACGCCTGCAACAGCCAGGTGTGGGCCAGGCGCTGAGGCCTCCCACACGGTGGCAGGGACCTGGCCTCGTGAGAGGCACCTGCTGCCTCCCCAGGTGCACCTGCTGGGCTGAGGCCTCCACACGGTGGCAGGGACGCGGCCACGTGGCCATCCCCTGCTGCCTCCCCAGGTGCACCTGCTGGGCTGAGAGCAGAGCCACATCTGCACTGTGACATGGGCACGACCGTCCCAAGGGTGGGCACCCCGGTCCCACCCAGCCCCTTGATTCCCAGATACCCACCGATGTGTGGGAGGCCCACACTCGGTCTCATTTAGACACACACGGTTAGTTTGTCATCATTGCGGTTTTAATGCACACTAAGGCCTCGCAGGATCCTGCGTCTGGAAACCCATTCTTTGAGACGGGCAGAGCCTCCTGCAAACATCGGTGGCAGGCGCGTCCCCCGCGGCCAGCTGCGGCCGCACCTGAGAGCCGAGGCAGGCGCGTCTCCGTTCAGGTGCTGTGAACCCGGCCAGCGAGCGGCTTCTGTGCTTCCTACCCTAAGCCCGGTTTAGCCTTTGCACGAGAAATCTGTGCCATTTTGCTGTTTTCCGTTTGCCCTACGGCTAGGATGCTGCTTCCTTTGGCCTGTAGGCGGGATGGCTGGGTGTTATCTGCGATTTTCATGCACGAACTGTAAACACTTTTTAAAAAAGGTCTTTTCGGTAAAGCAGGGGGAACCACGATCAGTAGCTCTCCCACCCCCGTTTCCCCTCGCCCGCACCACACAGCACCCCATTCGCATTTTCGAGGACCCCAGGCCAGCTCCGGGGCCCAGCCGGCGAGGGGCTCCACCAGCACCCGCGGGTCCTCTCAGCGTCTCCCGCGGTGGCCCGGTCTCCTAAAGCGTCTCTCTACAGATCCCGCAAACTAAGCCGCCCAGATTCTCAGGCACGTGAACCGCCGAACTCGTTTTTTCTCTTTAGGCTTGTTTTGTTTTGTTCCTCAGCCCCTTCACGTAGAACTGGGAAGACCGAGATCCAAGATCAAATAAGGGCCTCGTCTCGCATTTCCGAGTAAGAATGCCTGGGCTACCCTGTGCTGTCTCCCTCGCTTTCCTCATCACAAATTCCTGACGAAGTCTCGAGCCCGCCAACGACCCGCGCGGACGCGGCCAGCGGCGGCCAGAGGTGGCCGGCGGCGAGTCCCGCCCGCGCCCCAGCGCCGCCCCAGGGCTGTCCGCGGCGCTGCCTGACTGCGGCGGCGCCGGGGGCCTCGCGGGGTCCTTCGGCCGGGCTTCCCGACGCGCTGCCTGAGTGGAGCCGCGGGTGGCTTCCGGCGCGGGTGACGAGTGGTGGCCGAAGCGGGGCAGCAGCTAGGGACGCTCGGGCAGGGACCATGGCAGACGGCGGCTCGGAGCGGGCTGATGGGCGCATCGTGAAGATGGAGGTGGACTACAGCGCCACGGTGGATCAGCGCCTGCCCGAGTGCGAGAAGCTGGCCAAGGTGAGGGGCGGCCGGCCGGCTGGAGGCGGGCGCCAGGGGCTGAGTCACGGCGCCGAGCCTGCTTAGGCCTCAGGGGGCCTGCGGGCTGGCGCTCGCATCCCCCTATGGCCCATCCAAGTCCTGGCTGGGCCTGCGTGGCTGGGAGACGGCGCAAGCCCGAGGACGCTCGTGCCGACGGCTGCCCAAGCCCTCCCCGGGACCGGTGGCCACTCGGTCCTCGCAGGGGATGGGGCTTCGGTGGACACTCCGCCTTTTCCTAGATGCTCTTTGACTTGCGTCCGCCCCGGCAGCTTCCCAGGGGCGAGGGCCGCTTCAGCGTTCGGGCTAGGCGGGGCTCTTTGGTGGTGCGGCTGAAACGCGTCTGAATCGGGGTGGTGTGCCCGGGCTTTGGCCACTGTCCTTAAGGAGTGCGTGCCCGGAGGAATCTGAGGTCTGCCTGGCGCCGTCTCCCGCCGTTGTGGAGGGCTCCTGGGCTCAGAGCGGGGTGCGGTTCGTTCCTGCCGGCGTGTGTTTTGGACGTGGAAGAGTCGGGAGATGGGCATGGGGGCGCCGCCGCTCCTGGAGAGGGACCTGCAGGAGAGACGAGTGGGCGGTCGGGGGCAGAGCCGCCGAGGGGTGGGGGCCCCGCTGTCGGGCAGCGGTGTGTCATTGCAGCCGGCGACAGGCAGACTCTGGGGTTCAAGACCAGGTTTACCTGCCCAGGGTCTGGGTCCTGGCTGAATCTACCCCACACGGCCTCCGTGAACTCCTTGATCAGTCCAGCCGCAGGCGGTGAGATGGGTTCGCCAGGGTGGCTTTTGTTCCTTAAGGAGCCGTAAGGAGTGGGTCACCTTTAGTTCTTAGGAGGAATCCTTTCTAATGCGTCTCTTTAAAAGGAAAGATGTTTAATGGGCTGAGAAAGGCGGCGTTGACTTGCGTATTAGGTTCTGCGTGCTTCCTTGGGCTTGCGTGTCGGCGGTGTAGATTCCTCCTGAGCTGTCCCCCAGCGGGTGTGGAGACACATCATCGGCCACACGGGGCTGGGAAGCTCAGCCGCCTCCGACGCGGGCAGGTGACCCGAGCCGCGCGCGTGCAGGCACCAGTTCGCACAGCCCTCGGCAGCAGGCATTACTTTGCTCTTATTTCACAGACAAGGAAACCGAGGCCAGGAGAGGTTGGGTCACGTGTCCCAGGGTCACACACCGGTAGTGGCAGAACCAGGTGCACACCCTACAGACGATGATAGGACTTGGAAAGGAGTCAGCAGCTCCCCACCTCCAGTTAGCCTTTGCCACCTGGACATGAAAGCTGAGCCTAGGCAGCCCTACTGATTTGAGGGAGAAACCAGGAACGTGGGTTTTAAATTATTATTTACTTATTTGTGTGGGGGAGAGAGACAGAGAACTGACTCGTTCACTGGTTCACTGCCCAGATGGCTGCAGCAGCTCAGGCTGGGCCAGCTTGAATCTGGGAGCCCAGAACTCAGTCTAGGTCTCCCAAGTGGATGGCAGGGACCCAGCTACTTGAACCATCATCTGCTGCCTGCAAGGTGCGCACTGGCTGAGAGCTGGAATGGGGAGCAGAGCTGAGACTTGAACCTAAGCACTCCAGTACGGGATGTGGGTGTCGCACATGGCATCTAAACTGCCCCAGGAATGTGGATTTTTATGTGAACTACCTTATTATTTATCTAATACTGTGTAAATCCAACCAAAGGTACTTAAACAGGCCAGAGGCAGCCTCTGACTCTCCACTCTGGACTTAATAGAGTGATAGTGTCTATAAGAGAGACAAATCGTTTGTTTTAAAGAAATACAGCTATTCCTAGAACTGAGGCCTAGGAGGGAAAAAAAATCTCTTTACAACAGCCTTCTGTGTGCAAAACCAGTGCTGGACACTGGGGAGTGGGAAGATCATTAGACAAAATTCTTTTATTTGTTTAGAGATTTATTTTATTCACTTGAAAGGCTGAGTTACAGAGAGAGAGAGAGACAGAGGTCTTCCATGTGCTGGTTCACTCCCCAAATGGCCACAATGGCCAAGGCTGGGCATACTGGAGCCAGGAGCCTCCTCCTGATCTCCCACAGGGGTGCAGGAGCTAAGCACCTGGGCCATCTTCTGCCTTCCCACGCACATTAGCAGGTGGCAGATCAGAAGTGGAGCAGCCAGACTTAAACCAGCGCCTGTTTGGGGTGTTGGTGTTGTAGGCTGCAGCTTTACCTGCTGTACCAGCCCACATTTTGTATTAATTTTTTAATTCTGTCAAGCATAACTTGGGGGGAAGGGGCTGCCCATAACAATTATACATTAGAAAGTAGAGGACATTTTAGTATACATTCTTTTATTTCTATTTTGAGCCTGCCAATAGAACTGGAAAGGCTGTGTGGTTTTCGCCGGGAGCGGCCCAGGCAGATCCTGCTCCAGGCTCCTGGCAGGCAACGCGAGTGCTCTTTCTGCTGCATCCACTGCCTCTAACGGATTATCAAATCTTGCTTGGTTTCCCTCAGACATTTTTGTTTTAAGTGTGAAAGACATTTGAAAATAAAAGCTATCTCACTATCTCACTTCACTGGAGAGAAAAATTGGTTTAAGTTTCTTGCCCAGGGTAACATGGTAGTAGAGCCGGCAGTTTGGCTGCAAAGCCTGGTTTGTTTTAATTTTCATTTCTTATCTAAAAGGCAGAGAAAGAGAAAGATTTTCCATATGCAGATTCATTTCCCAAATACCTGCAACAGCCAGAGTTGTGCCAGGTCCCTGCTATTGCAGATTTAAATTCTGGTGAGACAGGGAAGCTAGCAAACAAGAGTTAGGGTCGAGTGTTAGAGAAGGAGGCGACTACTGATGTTACTGATGTGAGAGGGCGTTATCTAGGAACACCTCCCTGAAAAGGTGGCGGTTAACGTCTTGTTTTCCAGACTGGCTGTGCAGTACCACATGGCTCCCTCACTTCCAGGGTGCAGTTCTTCAGTACCTGTGTTTCTGAGTTAGAACCCTGTATATTAAATTACGCTCTGCTGCTCCCAGCCATGACTAATAGTGCAGGGTCGGTATCTCTTATCTGAAATGCTTGGGACCAGAAGTATTTTAGATTTCAAAATCTGGGATATTTGCATACATATAATGAGAAATCTTGAAAATGGAATACAAGTCTAAACACAAGATGCATTTTTGGGGGGCCACTGCTGTGGTATAGTAGGCTAAGCCTCCTCCTGCTGTGCTGGCATCCCTTTTGAGCACTGGTTCAATTCCCAGCTGCTCCTCTTCCAATCCAGCTCTCTACCTATGACCTGGGAAAGCAGTGGAAAATGGCCCAAGTCCTTGGGCCCCTGCACCTGTATGGGAGACCCAGAAGAAGCTCCTGGCTCCTGTCTTCAGATTGGCCCAGCCATTTGGGGAACGAACCAGTGCATGGAAGACCTTTCTGTCTCTCCATCTCTCTGCTGTAACTTCACCTCTCAAATAAATCTTTTTTTAAAAAAAGATGCATTTATGTTTCTTACACATAGCTATACAGTAGCTTAAGTGCACCTGTGCTTTGACTGATATAACCTGTCACATGAGATCAAATGTGGATTTTTCCACTTGTGATGTCTTAGTGCTCAAAAACTTTGGATTTTTAAAAATTTTTTTATTATTTATTTATTTGACAGGTAGATTTACAGGCAGTGAGAGAGAGAGACAGAGAGAAAGGTCTTCCTTCCCTTGGTTCACTCCCCAATGGCCGCAACAGCCGGAGCTGTGCTGATCTGAAGCCAGGAGCCAGGAACTTCTTCCAGGTCTCCCACACGGGTGCAGGGGCCCAAGGACTTGGGCCATCTTGTACTGCTTTCCCAGGCCATAGCAGAGAGTTGGGTTGGAAGTGGAGCAGCCAGGACTAGAACCGGCACCCATATGGGATGCCGGTGCTTCAGGCCAGGGTGTTAACCTGCTGCGCCACAGTGCCGGGCCCCAAAACTTTAGATTTTTAATCTCAAGATTAGGGATGTTCAACTATAATTGAAATTGTGACTGTAGATTCACTATCTCAGAGGACTGTATTTTACATTTTAACTGTTTTGGGGCCTCATTTTGTTGCCTGGTAGTAACCTTTCCCTAAGGAGATTACTTGGTAAAAGCAAAGTCCTCATTTAAACTAGCATGGTAGGTGGAGCAGTGCGGTGCAGTGGGAGGAACATTGGACTGCAAGGCAAGCCCCCGCCATCTGGTTCTGTTCATTTGTTTGTGGCTGAGAAAGTCATGGAAGCTGTTTGGTACACAGTGTTTTCAATCTGTCAAGTCGGGTAATTGGGGTGCGTGTTGAGCTGTGGCTGGTTAAACTACCACCTGGAGTGTCCGCATCTTGTATTGGAGTGCCTGGGATTGAGTTCCCTCTCTGCTGCGGACCCAGCATCCTGCTCGTGTGCTCTGAGAGGCTGCCGGTGACAGCTCAGGGACTTGAGTGCCTGGCACCCATATTGGAGGCCCAGATGGAGCTCCTGGCTCCTGGCTCCTGGCTCTGGTCTGACCCAGCCTTGGCTGTTGTGGCCATCTGGGGAGTGAACCCGTGGATGGAAGATCTCTGCCTCCGCTCCTTTCTTCCTCTTGCTCTGCCTTTCAAGTAAACAAGCTTTTTCAAAAGTAAAATAAGGTGATTGAAATATCTCTAGCAGTCTTTCTAGTTCAGAGACTGTTTGTTCTTTTATGATTTATGAACCATCAACTCTGGAGAATTTATAGATTTGTTCATTGTTCTTATTCTCTGATGAACATTTATTGTATACTGTGTCTGTAAAGCTTTCAGAATTAGTGCTCCTCTTTGCTTAAGAAATATTTTCTCAAATACATTAATAGTCTGTGTATCCTGGGAAGCAGCAGGTTATGGCTCAAGTACTTGGGTCCCTGCTACCCACATGGGAAATCAGGATTGAGTTTCTGGCTGCTGGCTCCTGGCTCCTGGTTTTACCTTGGCCTGGCCCCTGCTGTTGGAGGCATTTGAGGGGTGAACCAGCAGATGGAAGATCTTGCTTTGTCATTCTGCCTTTCAAATAAATATAAATTAAAAAAATTTAAAGATGTGTTAGTATGTCCAGCATTGTGGTGTAGCGGGTAAAGCTGTCGCCTGCAATGCACTGGTTCGAGTCCCAGCTGCTCTACTTCCTATCATGCTGCCTTCTGATGGCCTGCAAAAAGCAGCAGAAAATGGTGCAAGTGCTTGGGCCCCTGCCATCCATTTGGGAGATGCAGAAGAAGCTCCTGTCTTCAGCCTGGCCTGACCCAGCCCCAGCCATTGTGGCCATCAAGGGAGTGAACCAGCAGATGCAAGATCCCTCCCCATCCACCTCCCCCTCTCTAATGGCCTGGGGGAGCTGCAGTGGATGGCCCAAGTGCTTGGGCTCCTGCTACCCACATGACAGACCAGGGTGGGGCTCCTGGCTCCTGGCTTCTACCGGGCCCAGGCCTGGCCATTGTGGCTATCTGGGAAGTGGGCCAGTGGATGGAAGATCTCTCTATCTCTACCTCTCTCTCTCTGTGGCTCTGCCTTTCAAATAAGCAAATAAAATCTTTAACAGAAAAAAAAGTCCAAACATTTGTGTTCTCAACACAAAAGCTATTTAATTAGTTTCTTTCATTAGTGAAAAAGGAGAATCCTCATGTATTACCCATGAATGTCATTAAGATAAAAACTTTTCGTTTATGGTTAGAACTTTTTTTTTAAGATTTATGTTTTATTTATTTGAAAGGTAGAGTTACAGAGAGAGGATGCAAGACAGGTTCACTCCCCAAATGGCCACAACCATCAGGACTGAGCCAGGCTGAAGCCAGCAGCCTGGAGCTTCTTCTGGGTCTCCCACGTGGGTGCAGGGGCCCAAGCACCTAGGCCATCCTCTGCTGCTTTCCTAGGCTCATTAGCAGGGAGCTAGATCTGAAGTGGAACAGATGGGTCTCGAACTGGCACCCATATGGGATGCTAATGTCACATGCAGAGGCTTAGCCCACTACACCACAGTACAGGCCCTAGAACTTTTTTTTTTTTTTTTTTAAGATTTATTTATTTGGAAGTCAGAGTTGCACAGAGAGAAGGAGAGGCAGAGAGAGAGAGAGGTCTTCCAAACGCTGGTTCACTCTCCAGTTGCCACAATGGCGAGATCTGTGCCTGTCCAGAGCCAGGAGCTTCTTCCAGGTCTCCTATGCAGGTACAGGGGCCCAAGGACTTGGGCCGTCTTCTGCTGCTTTCCCAGGCCATGGGAGAGAGCTGCATCAGAAGTGGAGCAGCTGGGACTTGAACCAGTGCCCATATGGAATACTGGCATTGCAGGCAGTGGCTTTACCTGCTGCACCACAGCGCCAGCTGCCCAGAACATTTTTTAAATAAAACCCTCCTCATCAGTTCCAGTTCATTATCAGCATTGTGTACATGATAGTCACTAATATCAGTATCTTAAATAAGTACAATTTTTCTGCTGTAGTTTTTGCTTTTTATCAAAAATATGTGCCTCTTAATAGGATTTGTTTTAGTTCTCATATTTTACATAAAATATTTTCATATCTTAAAGTATATACCAGAGAATGTTTTCTTTTTACATTTGAGCTAGGGGTGTGAAGACGTTATATAGGTTGGCCAACAGGGTGTGTTTGCTGTGGGTCGGTGTTTGTGTAAGAGAGTGTCTTCCAGTATAGGGTGCCTGGGGTTCTCAGGTGCTCTCCGTTTCCTCGAAAGTCAGTGGCAAATTGACTAGGCTTTCTTTGATAGCCAAAGTGACAGAAGGAGAGACATCTATCTATCGGTTCACTTCCCAAATGGCTGCAACAGCCAGGCCTGGCCCAGGCTGAAACCAGGAGCCAGGAACTCCATCTGGGTTTCCCACATGAGTAACAGTGGCCCAAATACTTGAGCCATCGGCTGTTGCCTTCCCAGGTGCATTAGCAGGGAGCTGGATCAGAAGTGGAACAGCCGGGGTGTGAACTAGCACTCTGGTATCAGATGCTGGCATCACAAATGGCAGCTTAACTCGCTGTGCCACACGCCAGCCTCTAAACTCTTGTTTTAAGTGTGTGTTATGGTGAATTTAAAAAGAAAGCATTTGTTTTCCTGTTTTTATTCTTCACAGATGCATGTGACCACCGCCTAGTGTCTGTGCAGGACAAGATAAGTGTGTGTTGCCATAATGAGCTGATAAATTAGAATCCAAAACAAAGACCTAGTGTTTTTCTCAAGTGTTGAATCCTTGTTGTGTACACACAGTTCAGTTTCTTCCACACAGTTGAAAATAGCTTGTGGGCCCCAAGTAGGGGTCTGTAGACTTAAACCCACTGGCGAAGCAGGCACAGTCATAAAAGTGAAAGTGGTCCTTTTCCTCTACAATAGGCTACTGGTTTTTCTGTGTCAAAGCATCTCATGTTAGATTAGTTTTGGGTAGTGTTTTCATTGTTCGTTTTTATCTTTTGTTTTAGGAAGGAAGACTCCAAGAAGTCATCGAAACTCTTCTTTCTTTGGAAAAACAGACTCGTACTGTGAGTAGATAACAGTAAAAACTTCAATTAACACTAATTCCATTTAACATTGTTCCGTTAACTTGCAACATATTTTCATTCCTACAGGCTTCCGATATGGTGTCTACATCCCGTATCTTAGTTGCAGTAGTGAAGATGTGCTATGAAGCTAAAGAATGGGATTTACTTAATGAAAATATTATGCTTTTATCAAAGAGACGGAGTCAGTTAAAACAAGTGAGTGTGCGGGTTGCTGACGTGGCTTGGTTGTCTCCGTGTTGCCCTGGTCTTCATTGTTATGACTTTAAGTGGTTGGTTTGTAATTTGTTGAGGTGATCATCTGAATTGGTTAACAATATCTTTTTTTTCTTTTGTTAGATTTATTTATTTATTTGAAAAGGCGGAGTTAGAGGAAGAGACAGATCTTCCAACTGCTGTTTCAACCCCCAGATGGCAGCATTGGAGCTGGGCTAGTCCAAAGCCAGGAGCTTTTTCAGGGTCTCCCACATGTGTTCAGGGGCCCAAGCACGTGGGTCATCCTCTGGTGCTTTCCCAGGCACATTAGCAGGGAGCTGGATCAGAATTGCAGCAGCTAGGACTCGAACCAGCATCTATATAAGATGCCAGTGTCGCAGGTGGCAGCTTTGCCCACTATGCCACAACGTTGGCTCTTTATTTCTTAACATACTCTCTGGCCTTTTTTAGATAGATCACTCATTTGTTTAAAGATTTGGCAAATTCTCTTGGTCTTTTATAAATCTGGACTTTGTTCACTGCTTCCTTATTCTTTTGCCCGAGATATATTTCAATATCATTGGTAGGAATAGATTCTATTTTTTACATTTATATCTCATTTTGGCCGGCGCCGTGGCTCACTTGGTTAATCCTCTGCCTGTGGCTCCGGCACCCCGTGTTCTAGTCCCAGTTGGGGCACTGGATTCTGTCCTGGTTGCTCCTCTTCCAGGCCAGCTCTCTGCTGCGGCCTGGGAGTGCAGTGGAGGATGGCCCAAGTGCTTGGGCCCTGCACCTGCATGGGAGACCAGGAGGAAGCACCTGGCTCCTGGCTTCGGATCGGCGCAGTGCGCCAACCGTAGCAGCCATTTGGGGGGTGAACCAACGGAAGGAAGACCTTTCTCTCTGTCTCTCTCACGGTCTAACTCTGCCTGTCCAAAAAAAAAAAAAAAAAGGAAAGAAAAGAAACATCTTATTTTAAGATGCTGTGTCCCTCCCAACCCTGACTCCTTGGCTGTTGTGGGCATTTAGGGACTGAGCCAGTGGATGGGGGGGGGGGGGGGCTCTCTGTCTCTCTGCCTTTCAATTTAATTTAAGTTAATTTAAAAAAAATGAGCAGCAGAACCTTTTTAAAAATGTGCTCCCTGAATAGTTTCTGGGTTCTTTACATTGTAAAAGAGGATAGTAGCAGAACCAAAAATAATCACAGAGAAGTCTCTTCTCCAGAACCCTGTTGTATTAATTATATTGCAACAGATTGGGCATTATAATAAAATGGGTTAAATTGGGTGTTTAGCATAGCAGTTAAATTGCCATACCTGGTTCAGGTCTCAGTTCCATTTCTGATTCCAGGTTCCTGGAATGTGCACCCTGGGAGGCAGTGGGTCATGGTTGAAATATTTGGGTCTCTGTTATCCACACTGGAGACCCAAATTGAGTTCTAGGCTCCTGGCTTTGGCCTGGCCTGGCCCTGACTGTTGGAGGTATTTGGGGAGTTAACCAGCAAATAGAAGATTTAGTGCAAAAAAAAAAAAGGAAATCTGTGCATACTTACATAATATAAATAAATAACAAGAGAATAGTGACAGGTGAGAGTAGGAAAAGTGATTAGGATTACTAAGGAAGTCTTCTTGGAGAAAGAGAAATTTGAGTCGGTCTCACAGCTGGCTAGTGACAAACAGAACAGGAGTCAGGACTGCTCTTTCCCTGTAACAGGTTATGTACAGACTGTCTTCAGAGCTGTGGAAACTGCTTACGAGACTTGAAATGTCCTTGTTCTTTTCCAGTAATAACTATTTAAAAAAAAATAAACTGGGTACTTTTTTATACTTTTTTTAGTTTGTTTATTCATTTTTACTTATTTGATAGGCAGAGCAATAGAAAAGTAGAGAGAGATCTTGCATCCACTGGTTCACTCCCAAATGCAACAATCAGGGCTGCGCCAGCTAGAAGCCAGGAACTCAGTTCAGGTCTCCTGTGTGGGTGGCAGGAACCCAACTACTTGAGCCATCATCTGCTGCCTCCCAGGTGCGCAATGGCGGGAAGCTGTGTTGGAAGCAGACAGGACTGGATTCCAGGCTCTGATAAGGGCTGTGAGCATCCCAAGTAGGGGCTTAACCCCCTGAACCACAATTCCTGCCCTTTTTATTTATTTATTTTTTTTTTGACAGGCAGAGTGGACAGTGAGAGAGAGAGAGACAGAGAGAAAGGTCTTCCTTTTGCCGTTGGTTCACCCTCCAATGGCCGCCGCGGCCGGCGCGCTGCGGCCGGCGCACCGCGCTGATCCGATGGCAGGAGCCAGGAGCCAGGTGCTTTTCCTGGTCTCCCATGGGGTGCAGGGCCCAAGCACCTGGGCCATCCTCCACTGCACTCCCTGGCCACAGCAGAGGGCTGGCCTGGAAGAGGGGCAACCGGGACAGAATCCGGTGCCCCGACCGGGACTAGAACCCGGTGTGCCGGCGCCGCAAGGCGGAGGATTAGCCTAGTGAGCCGCGGCGCCGGCCTCTGCCCTTTTTATTTTATTCTTTTAAATTTTCTTTTGCCTAATTTATTGTTGTGTTTTTAATTATATGACTGTTTCAGCAACATATTTATTTCAAAGTTACTTCAAGTAGTAAATTTGCTGCCCAATTTAAATCTTTATAAGTGCCAAATATAGGACAATGAGTCGTAATGGGTTAAACAAACTTAGAAAGCAATGATTTTTTAAAAAACATAGCCTTTTTAGATTGCTTAAAATAAATGGTTTGTAATTCGCCATCACTTGAGTACAGGACCTCACTTGACTCCCCATGACTTCCCCACTGAGCCGCAGGATGTTTGCTGATGTGAATATTGATATAGTTGTGTTTTTTCTCATATTTCTGTTAATGTATATTTTGCACAGCTTTAAGAATTGTTAAGTTATGTGCTGTTCTAGAAATCATTATAATCTTAGAGTGAGCATATGTTTTATGAGATACTGCATGTCCCAGAGACTTGTGCTTATTGAAAGAAAGTTGACATTTTACAGCAAAATTTTAGTTTTTGAAACCCCTGTTTTTCAGATGGGTAAAGGTTTAACCTGAACTACTTGGAACATTAGTGTTTTTCATGGAAATCTTCCTAAGTTAGGCTTTTTATTTTCTGTCTTAAAACATATGTGTACTTAATGTAATTTAACGTTTACTTGATGGCTCAGGGTCCTAGATATTATCAGTGATTTTAACTTGCTGTTTAAAATCTAGATAGGGGTTGGCAAATGATGAGCTGCAGACCAAACCCCACCTGCCACCTGTTTCTGTAAATAAAGTTGTGGTGCTGTGGTATAGCCGGTAAACCTGTCGCTGTGGTGCCAGCATCCCATTTGGGTGCCGGTTTAAGTCCCAGCTGCTCTACTTCTGATCCAGCTCTCCACTCTGGCCTGGGAAAGCAGTAGAAGATGGCCCAAGTGCTTGGGCCCCTGCACCCACACGGGAGACCTGGAAGAAGCTCCTGCCTGGCTTTGGATCAGCCCAGCTCTGGCCATTGCAGCCATCTGGGGAGTGAACCAGTAGATGGAAGACCTCTCTCTCTGCCTCTGCCTCTCTGTAATTCTGCCTTAAAATAAATAAATCTTTTTTTTTAAAGTTGTTTGAACATAGCCATGGTCATTTGTTTATAGATTGTGTCTGCCAGTTTTTTTTTTTTTTTTTTAAGATTTATTTATTTATTTATTTGAGTGGTGGAGTTAGAGAGGGAGGGAGGGAGAGACAGAGAGAGAGGTCTTCCATGAACTGGTTCACTCCCAAGTGGCTGCAATGGCCAGATCTGAACCTGTCCAAAGCCAGGAGCCAGGAACTTCTTCCAGTCTCCCACACGGATGTAAGGCCCAAGCACTTGGGCCATCTTCCACTACTTTGCTAGGCTATAAGCAGACAGTTGGATTGGAAGAGGAGCAGCCGGGACACAAACCAGCGCCTGTATGGGATGGCGGCGCCACAGGTGGAGGCCTAGACTGCTAATACACAGTGCCAGCCCTCTCCGCCAGCTTTTGAGTTACACAGGTAAAGCTGAATCATTGCCACAGAGACTATATGATTATGACCCACAACTCCAAAACATTTACAAGATAAATATTTGCAAAAACTTATAGAGCCTGTTTGCTACATCATAGAATTTAGACCTGGAGGGAGTGAATGTAGTCCAAACCGCTTGTATTACCTGCTGAGGAGAGTGAGGGCAAGAGGTTCTCTGTCTGGGCTCAAGTGAGTAAGGGTGGCTGAGGCTGCACCCGCCCCGCCCAAGGTGGGCCCTCTGCCTCTGCCCCGACCTCCTTTTGCTCGGTCACAATGTCAGCTGCTCCTGGCTTCCAGCCACTGCGGAGCTCTGCTTTCTCTTCCTCTCCGCCCCTCCCTTGGCTGCCATTTCTCAGATGCTTGTCGAGTTGGCTGCATCTTCACATGCAAGGCTGCCCTAACCTTGGCAATGTGTTCCTTTGTGTTCAGTGCTTCTTAGCCATCAGGAAGATTTTGGTTTTTTGACAGGCATTTCAGGTATCTAGAGCTGCCTGGGGAGACCAGGTTTGACCATAGCTCTTCTATCAGTAAAATACATGTTTTTCCTCTTTGAGAAAAGAATTTTATTTATGAATGGTTTTTGCTTTTTAGGCTGTTGCAAAAATGGTTCAACAGTGCTGTGCGTATGTTGAAGAAATCACAGACCTTCCAATCAAACTTCGATTAATTGATACTCTGCGAATGGTCACAGAAGGAAAGGTGAGTTTTCTGTTGGCACAACTCACAGTGATAAATCTCTTACCTGCTTCCGGACATACTTTGTGTAAATATGTATATTTTAAACAGTGGCTATCTTGGTACATCCAAATTTTTCCAGCAATTAAGTGATCTTATCCAAAATCTCTGCGGCTACTTGTGTGCTTTGAAGAATAAGCAAAAATTCTACTGAGCCAGAGAGTGGGGAAAAGGACATTGAGACATTGAGGGAATTATATACAAGGATACCAAAAGTAAGAAACACATAATGTATTTAGTTTGGTATTACTGGAAATTAAGGGTGGGGCTGTTGCACAGTAAAGGCTGAGGGGTTGAGCATGCCTAAGTATGAAAATTCGCTCTGTGGATTCTTGGGTATAGTGATATTTTTAATATTTAATTTATTAGAAATTATAAATCTGACATTATTTATAGTTTCAAAAATACTAGCAACTTTAATACTTATCAAGATTAGATATTTTTAAAGAAAAAAGTTGTACTTAAAGATAAGTCAGAATTATAGCATTGGTTGAATTATTGATACTGGATTTCTCATGCTTGTGGGGAGCAACCCGGACTAGACTAAGTTACTGGAATTAAGACTTATTCTATGCATCTGCTCTCCTACAATATGGCGCTGAGAAGGGAGAAACAGCTTCTACACAGCTGCCTCCAGTTCAACCAATAAACTGTAGGACCTGCTCCTGATTGGAGGAGAGCAGCGTACTCGGCGTATGGGTAGCAGAGTTGGGATTGGTGAAGAGGACTATAAAGGAGGAGAGAGAGACCATGCACCAGGGAACATCTAAGGGCAACACCTGAGCAGCCCCCGAGAGAGCCGGCCGGCGGTGTGCTGCTCCCCCGCGGAAGTGGGGAAAGTGGCAGGGGGAACCGCCCTTCCACGGAGGTGGAGGGACGGTAGCCAACCCGGGAAGAACCAGCAGCAAACCCGGGGAGGGCCGAGCAGACGAAAGAACAGCGCAGGGTCCTGTGTCGTTCCTCCACGAAGACGGGGAGCGACAATGCTGTTTATAAATTGTGACATTTTTTAAATAATTCTTTTAGGCCGGCGCCGCGGCTCACTAGGCTAATCCTCCGCCTAGCGGCACCGGCACACCGGGTTCTAGTCCCGGTTGGGGCGCCGGATTCTGTCCGGTTGCCCCTCTTCCAGGCCAGCTCTCTGCTGTGGCCAGGGAGTGCAGTGGAGGATGGCCCAGGTGCTTGGGCCCTGCACCATATGGGAGACCAGGAAAAGCACCTGGCTCCTGGCTCCTGGCTCCTGCCACCGGATCAGCGCGGTGCGCACCGCCCGCAGCGCGCCGGCCCGCGGTGGCCATTGGAGGGTGAACCAACCGCCAAAGGAAGACCTTCCCCTCTGGTCCTCCTCTCCTCCTCACTGTCCACCTTCTGCCTGGTCAAAACATTAAATTAAAATAAGGATAATTTATAGAGACATTTTCTTTAAGGTTCTGGTTATACTTGTGAAATGTAAAATGTCTCACAGCTCTATTTGTAGATAGAGGATAAAGCACTTGTTTGAATAATAGTTCAAGTCTATCTTTTAAAATTTTAACACACTTCTACAGGAATTTTGATAAGTTAAATGTCCTTTAATTGTAGATTTATGTTGAAATTGAACGTGCGCGACTGACTAAAACTTTGGCAACTATAAAAGAGCAAAATGGTGATGTGAAAGAGGCAGCCTCCATTTTGCAGGAATTACAGGTAAGTTGCTACTTTGGAAGTTTTAGTATTTTAACAGTATTTTCTGTGGCAGTAACGTACTTTAGCACCTTATCACTTCCTTCTAAACCACCAAGAGCAAAAGTGAATGTAAGGGAATGTGAGGTCATTGTGCAGGTAGAAATTGGGAGATCATAGGCCAGCTAAACTCAACTGCTGAGTTATTCTGAAGAAAAGTTCGGATCAACAGACTTGTCGTAATTTTGCCCTATCATCTGAATACTTAAATTCTCTCTAGAACTGAAATAAAATATGATTGGTGTGCCATTCACTTGCCTTGGGAATCTGCTGTCAGTCACTGGCTTCAGTGTCAGAGAATAGTTGATGGGTGGTGAATTCCTAGGCTTAAAGAGTCCTTAAGGTGAGATAACCAAGAACTAAGAAATCGAAAAACTGTGGATTCTCTCACTAGAAAAATGTATATGAACTATGCTCAACATTTTGCAAATGTTGAGTGAATTTACACTCTGTTCTTGGAACCCATTAGGGTTCCTCATTGAGTTAAATTGATTATTCTAATTTTGAAATCATGTACTTTATCCATTCTAGCTGCAGGAAGGGAAAACAATAACATGACTAGGAAGGTCTTATGTTCTACAGATTATTTTTTTCCCAAAAAAATTATGTCTTGATATGTAGGTTTCTTATTTAATGTTCCCACACAACACTTTTATCCCCATTTTTCAGCCAATGAAACTGAGACTCAAAGGAGTTGAGTAACTTGCCTAAGGTTGTTGCTAACAGATGGGGATTCCTAATGGTTCTATTTGTCTTGATCCTAGTTTCATTTTTATTAGTAGATATTATTTTTAGAGCAGCTCTAGGTTCACAGCTGAAGTGAGTGGAAAGTGCAGAGTTCCCATGTATCCTCTGTCTTTGAATTCCCCTTCAGAGTGGTACATCTGTTATAGTGAACCTGCACTGACATATCAGTACCCCAAATCCGTATTGTACATTAGGGTTTGCTGTTGGCAAAAAAGTTCTCTGAGGGTTCTTTTTTTTTTTTTTTTTTTTTCTTTCAATATTTATTTATTTGAGAGGCAGAGCCACAGACAGAGGGAGAGAGAGAGAGAGTAAGGTCTTCCATCTGGTGGTTCACTACCCAGATGGCTGCAATGGCCAGGACTGGGCCAATCTGAAGCCAGGAACAACTTCTGGGTCTCCCACATTGGTGGGGCCCAAGCACTTGAGCCATCTTCCGCTGCTTTTCCAGGCCTTGGGCAGGGAGCTGGATTGGAAGAGGAGCAGCCAGGACTTGAACTGGTGCCCGTATGGGATGCTGTCACCGGCGGCAGAGGCTTAATCCACTATGCCACGGCAGTGGGCTCACTCTCTGAATTTTGACAAATGTATAATGTCATGTGTCATCCTCCATTGTGGTATCATAGAAAATAGTTTCATTGCCCTAAAAGTCCTCTGCTTTGCCTAAACATCTCTCCTTCCTCCTAACCCCTGGTGACCACTGTTCTTTTCACTGCCTCCAGTTTTACCTCCAAAACATGTGGTTTTTAAGATTTTTTTATTTGAAAGACAGATTGAGATCTTCCATCTACTGGTTCACTCCTCAAAAGCCCACAACAAGCAGGGCAGGTCCAGGCCAAAACCAGGAACCAGGATCTCAAGCCAGGTTTCCCACAGGTGGCAAGGACCAACTGCTGCCTCTTGGGGCATTAGCAGGAAGCTGGGGTTGGGAGCAGTTAGGACTTGAGGCCAGGTGCTCTGATAAGAGGTGTGGGCATGTGTGTCCAAAGTGCATCTTGACTGCAGGTCCACGTGCCTGCCTCTGTTTTGTAGCCAGGTGGATTATTTGCCTCATGATTCAACATCCCCTGTGAGATGATCTTGTCCCCCCTTGCATAAAGCTGTGGATCATGTAAGGTTTACAGGAGGAGTGCACGGAAGCCTGTGACAGGGAGCATAGGGCTGCCGTCAGCATGGTTTAGACTCTAGGAAACTGTGGGATCATTGACTTCATTTCTTTAACAAGTAAGTGTCAAGAAAAAAAGATAAGAAATATATTTCCCAGCGGCCAGTGCTGTGGCGTAGCAGGTAAAGCTGCCGCCTGCAGGTCCAGCATCCCATATGGGCGCCAGTTCGAGTCCTGGCTGTTCCACTTCCAATCCCACTCTCTGCTATGACCTGGGAAAGCAGTAGAAGATGGCCCAAGTCCTTGGGCCCCTGCGTGGGAGACCCAGGAGAAGCTCCTGGCCCCTGGCTTCGGCCATTGCTGCCAGTTCGGGGGTGAACTGTCAGATGGAAGGCCTCTTTCTTTTTCTGCCTCTCCTCCTCTCTCTAACTCTGACTTTCAAATAAATAAATAATCTTATTAAAAAAAAAAGAAGTCTATTTCCCAGTCACACAGTCTGGGCTCTTTTTGGATTCTAATTTGATTAGAAACCTACCTGAGAGGCAGACATTTGGTCTGGTGGTTAAGGTGCCACTTGGGATGTCTGTATCCCACATGTGTTCCCAATTTTGAGTCCCGTCTCTACTCCCAGTTCCAGCTTCCTGCTACCCACATGGGAGACCTAGATTGAGTCCTCAGTCCTAGCCTTGGTCTGGCCTTTGGGGACCAGTGGATGAGAGATTTCTGTCTCTCTCTGCCTTTAAAAATGATAAAATAAATAACATTCTGTAAAACTTAAGTGACAGGGCTAGTGCTGTGGCAAAGTGGGTTAAGCCATTGTCTGCAGCACCAGTATCTCATATGGGCACTAGTTTGAGTCTCGGCTGCCCCACTTCTGATCCAGCTCTCTGATAATGCACCTAGGAAAGCAGCGGAGGATGGCCCAGGGTCTTGGACCCCTGCGTTGACGTGGGAGACCCAGATGGAGCTCCTGCCTCCTAGCTGCAGCTGTGTCCATCCCTGGCCATTGCAGCCATTTGAGGAGTGAAGCAGCAGATGGAAGATTCTCTCTCTTTGGCTCTCCCTCTCTCTCTAACTGACTTCCAAATAAATAAATTAATTTTTAAAAAACACTAATTGAGATGATTGGATACTGACCACATATTTGGTGATATAAGGAACCTTTAGCTATGATTTTCTTCACAGTTTATCTTTCTTACCTTAGATAATAATATTTATATAATATGTTATATGAAATTTGATTCATATTACTTGATACATAAAGAGTAGATAAAGATGTATCAGTGCAACATTGATGATTCATTATGTTTGTAAGTTTTCTTAATAAAAAAGTATAAAGAAGAAGGTGAAATAAAAATATTTTCAGGCCAAAATAATGGATGGCTGCTGCCTTCATTCCACTTTGTAAGTCTGGTGTCCTGGATTTTCTGAATTCATTTATAGTATAAGCAAATATATTATAACTTTTTAAAAAGTATTTATGTAATTTTCTAGATTGTTCTAACTCTGCGTTCCACAGCCATTACTAGTCCTATTAGCCTTTTTAACTGACTTTGAAAAGACCAACGCCTTACTTTTATATAATGGTTTCAACTACTTTTTCATATTTAAAGTTATAATTTTCTCATTAGCCATTAGGAAAATGCAGATGTACCACTACATATCTATTGGAATGGCTAGCAATTTCTAAAATCCTAACTGGGTTTCAGTTGGACCACTTACATATTTATTGTTGGAGGGAATGCAGAGTGGTTCAGCCGCTCTGGAAAACCGTTTGGGAGTTTCTTATAAAGTTAAACACGCACTTATCTTGTGGCCCAGCAGTTCACTGAATATTTACCTAGGAGGAATAAAAATGTAATAGTCACACAAAACCTGCCCTCTGATGTAAGGGTGACTTTGTTTGTAATAACCAAAGCAGAATCCGCCCAGGTTCCTTCAGCAGGTGAGTGGGTAAGCTGTGGTTTTCTGTGCAGTGGTGTACTGCCAAGCAATAAAACAGAACAAACTACTGATACACACCACTTGAATGACTCTTTTACTTCAAGGCCTTATGCGGGGTGAATAAAGAATTTCAGAAGATTGCAAGCTATATTTGATATTCTTGAAAAGACAAATCTGTAGTGGCAAAGATCACTGGTTGTGAGGGCTTGCAAGTGAGGGGGTGTGTGCCTGTAGGAAGGTGCACGAGGGGCTTAAGTTGTATAGAACTGTTCTGTATCTTCATTGTCGTGGTGGTCATACTAATCAATCCCTGTGTTAAAATTCTTAGAACTTCCCCAAAAAGGGCAAAAACCCATTCTGCATAATTTCTTAAATTATAATCTCCTAGAGGTAACTAGCTTTCTATGTAATCCTCATTCCCTTTATACCTGATGGGTCTTATATTTCAAGGGTGAATATTTACTATATGTTTATTTCTGTTGCAATTCATGCAAATTGCTAAGTATTATCAACCTGCTAGGTGGAAACTTACGGGTCAATGGAGAAGAAGGAGCGCGTGGAGTTCATTTTGGAGCAAATGAGGCTCTGCCTAGCTGTCAAGGATTACATTCGGACACAAATCATCAGCAAGAAAATTAACACCAAATTTTTCCAGGAAGAAAATACAGAGGTAAGCTTATCTCAGACTACATGATTGCTTTAAAAGTATTTGAATAAAACCTGTGAACCCCAATTGATTTTGTCAACTTTTTTTCAGAAATTAAAATTGAAATACTATAACTTAATGATTCAGCTGGATCAGCATGAGGGATCCTATCTGTCTATTTGTAAGCACTATAGAGCCATCTATGATACTCCCTGTATACAGGCAGAAAGTGAAAAGTGGCAGCAGGTAAGAAGAGACTTAAAATTGATACACTTATTAGGAAAAACTTGCTTTTTAAAATTCTCATTCTATTTATTTTGAGAGGTAAAGAGAGATACAAAACAGCCATCCATTGGTTCATTCCACATGTGCCCACAGTAGCCAGTAACAGACCAGGCCAAAGCCAGGAACTAGGAACTGAATCCAGGTCTTCCACCTGGATGTCAGGGGCTCAACTACTTGAGCTGAGACTGAAACCCAGGCACTCCAGTGTGGTTTGAAGATGTCCCACCTAGCAGCATTAGCCCCTGGGTCGAGCACCTGTTCCAGAACTTAAATTTTTAATTTACTTTCAGCCATTTTAACTGCGAACATTAGGTGCAGTTGGTGTGGTATGGCTTTTCATTTGTCATGTTGGTACTTAATACATCTTTATGAATTAAGACTAATTGGGCAATAGTTTAAATTGTATGTCATTTATTTATTTATTTTTGTTTTCATTATTTGAAAGATTTTCCTTCTGCTTGTTCACCTCCCCCAACCCCCGGCCCTAGATGTCTGCAGTAGTCAGGGCTGGGCCAGACTGAAGCCAACAGCCCTGAATTCAATCCAGATCTCCCATAGGGGTTGCAGAAATCCAATTACTTGAGTCATAATTTGCTGCCACCCATGGTGCATGTTAGCAAAAAGCTAAAACTGAAGCATAGGACTGAGACTTGAACTCAGGTCATGTGAGATGAGATCCTGTTGTCCCAAGCAGCATATTTTGTTGTTGTTTTAAAGATTTATTTATTTAGTTGAGAGGCAGAGTTACAGAGAGAGGGAGAGACAGAAAGGTTTTCCATCTGCTGGTTCACTCCCCAAATGGCTGCAACGGCAGGAACTGAGCCAATCAGAAGCCAGGAACCAGGAACCAGGAGCCTCTTCTGGGTCTCCCACATGGGTGCAGGGGCCTAAGCACTTGGGCCATCTTCTACTGCTTTCCCAGGCTGTCAGCAGGGAGGTAGATGGAAAGTGGAGCAACTGGGACGCAAACCGGCACCCAAATGGGATGCCAGTGCCGCAGGTGGATGCTTAACCTATTACGGCATAGCGCCAGCCTCCCAAGCAGTATGATAGCCACCATGCCAAATGCCTGCCCCTATGTATCACTTCTCCTTTTGTTTTTTGTTTTTTCTTTCTTCTTATTTTCAGATTTAAATGGGTAGCAAGGGCCCAAGCAATCAGGCCATCTTCCTCTTCTTTCCCAGGTGCAGTAGCAGGGAGCTGGATCAGAAATGAAGCAGCAGGCACTCAAACTGGTGCTCATATGAGATGATGGCGTTGCAGGTGGTGCTTAACCTGGTGTACTGTAATGCTGGCCCCTGTGTATGTCACTTCTGATGAAATGCAGGCGTGTTGTTTAAAATACGGACAGCAGGGCGCAGGCGTTCAGCCTAGGGGTCGAGACATGTTTTTATCAGGGTGCCTGGCTCCACCTCTAACTCCTGACTCCATCTTCCCACTAATGCAGACCCTGGGAGGCAGCAGTGATGGCTCAAGTAAATGCATTCCCGCCACCCAAATGGGAGATTGAATTAAGTTCCGGGCTCCCAGCTTCAGCCCAGGCTCGTCCTAGCTGTTGCAGGCATTTAGAGAATGAACCACTGGATGGGAGCTCTCTTATCATCTCAAATAATAATAAAAATATGCAGCAGGTCACCTGCTAACAAAATTTACAGATGAAGATCCAGCATTGTTTTGGAAAGTTATTTTACAAAAGCTGTTTTAATGAGCTTGTATGTATATTCCACATTTATGCTGCTGTTATAAGAACTTTTTCTTTATGTATTTGTCAAAAATGAATGTCGGGGCTGGCTCCGTGGCACAGTAGGTTAATCCTCCGCCTGCGGCGCCAGCATCACATATGGATGCCAGTTCTAGTCCTGGGCTGTTCCTCTTCCAATCCAGCTCTCTGCTGTGGCCTGGGAAAGCAGTGGAGAGTGGCTCACGTGCTAGGGCCCCTGCACCCACATGGGAGACCCAGAGGAAGCTCCTGGCTCCTGACTTTAGATCAGCGCAGCTCCGGCCATTGTGACCATCTAGGGAGTGAACCAACGGAAGGAAGACCTTTTTGTCTCTCCCTCTCACTGTCTGTAACTCTACCTCCCAAATAAATAAATAAAATCTTAAAAAAAAAAAAAAGTGAATGTCAAGAAAAATATCAGCTGAAGTAGTAACTGAAAGTAGCAAAGGTTTATTGTAATGGTTTTATAATAAATAATAAAAACTAAATATTACAGAAAGACTCTGAGAGGGGCTGGTGCTGTGGCACAGCAGGTTAAGTTGCCACCTGCAGTGCTGGCATCCCATATGGGCGCTGGTTCGATTCTTGGCTGCTCTGCTTCCAATCCAGCTCCCTGCTAATGTGGCCTGGGAAAGCAGTAGAAGATATCCCAAGTGCTTGGGCCCCGGACCCACGTGGGAGACCCGGAAGAAGCTCCTGGCTCCTGGCTCCTGCCTGGCCCAGCCCTGGCCATTGTGGCCATCTGGGGAGTGAACCAGCAGATGGAAGACCTCTCTCTATCTCTCCTCTCTTTCTGTAACTCTGCCCTTCAAATAAATAAATAAATCTTAAAAAAGAAACAAAGACGTTGTGGAAAGGGCAGCCTGGGAAGACTTTTCCACCCTAAGACAAACACAAGATGACTGATGGAGTTACTGCAGTTTTTCAGTTCTTGCCAAATTGCCGTTATGTTTCCCTTGCAAATAACCTGTTGTGTTGTATAACTTTTTAGGCCCTGAAAAGTGTTGTTCTCTATGTTATCCTGGCTCCTTTTGACAACGAACAGTCTGACTTGGTTCACCGAGTAAGTGGTGATAAGAAGTTAGAAGAAATTCCCAAATACAAGTAAGCATTTTCATAATTAGCATAGAGTTTCTCACGAAAAACATTTTAAAGAAAAATCGGTTCACCTAAGTGAATATTCCTTAACTGGTCACTGATAGATTATATTATAGTATAAAAGAGGGATAATACAAGCGGTAATATGTCCTTTAGCATTGCATTAGAAATTAATAGATGACTGTTGCAGTCATTTGGGGAGTGAACCAGTGCATGGAAGATCTCTCTCTTCTTCTCTCTGTACCTCTGCCTTTCAAATAAAATAAATATTATTTTTAAAAAATATTATAACACATTTTGTTTTTCAAGAAGAAGTTTTATATCAAGCCCACATCCACAGTTTTTGGTTAGTTAACTGTTTTATAAAGTATTATCATTAGTGGGGACTTTGATTTTGTGTTTCATTAGTGTGTTCACAGTTATTTCAGAGACTGACACATACAGTGCAGGAGAGCAGAATGTGAGCTGTGGAATGCTGTGTTCAGAATTTCTGTGGGAACCTGGTAGTAAAGTTGGGAAAATATGTGTAAGCAAATCATGTCCTGTTCCACTCGATAAAAATGTGTAAAAGCAGTCTTTTGATTTTTTATTATAGATTTGAAATATTAAGTTTTGTACACTTTACAGGGATCTCTTAAAGCTTTTTACCACGATGGAGCTGATGCGCTGGTCCACACTTGTCGAGGACTATGGTGTGGAATTAAGGAAGGGGTCCCTGGAGAGTCCAGCCACTGACGTCTTTGGTTCTACAGAGGAAGGGGAGAAAAGGTGGAACGACTTGAAGAACAGAGTGGTTGAACATGTAAGAATTTGTGATGGGATGATTTTTATTTTAGCCTTGAATTAGTAAATTTGCTTTGGCAAATTCGAGCATGATGTTATTTTTCAACTTTCATAATCAAATGTTACTTTTATTTGTTAATGTCTTTAATACTTTAGGATATTTTTTGTATACACAGTGTAATAATGATATAAATTGGTTGTTTAAATGTTTCTATTGTCCAAAGCATTTCCATTTATCTCATTCATTTACCTTTTTTTCTCCTATTTTTGGCTTTTCAGAAAAAGTAACTGTTGTATCATGTGTCATTTTGAGAGAGAACCTCTCAAGAATCCAGATTCTTAACAGTTTATAAACCTGATTTCCCAAGAGCTGGACAAGGGGAGTTGTTCTTCCTGATACTCGCTTGTCTAGGAAGTGCAAAAGCCCATAAACCTGCACTTTGCTCTTGGTAGCACACAGATTGGATTATGTGACTCTTCATTCATTCATTCCTATAAGAGACATTCATCGTGAGGCACCTGTGCCAGACACTGCACAAAGTCCTGGCACATGGGATAATGAGACACGATCTCTTCAAAAAACTTGAAAGAGGACAGGTGTTTGGTCCAATGGTTGAGGCTTCTGTGTGCCTTTCTGGAGTTCCTGGCTTCAGTACCGCTCTAGCTCCTGACTCCCAGCTTTCTGCTAACGTGGACCTGGGGAGGCAGTCGCGATGACTCCAGTAATTTTAAGCTTAAATGATAAAAGTTTTCTTTCCAGGCACATGGAAACCCAGCAGATGGGAGTGACATATCTCTGCCTCTCACATAAAATTTTTTAAAATGAGCTTAAAAATCACAGGGAAAGATGTATTTATGAATAAAAAGTAATAAACATAAGTATATAAAGAGTAGAGTGGGACATAGGGAGAAAGTTGATTGATTCCCCCGGAATGATTGAGGTGAAATTTGTAAGAAGAGTGTGAGGTTATCTTGCAGGCAGGAGGGCAGTGACGGCATTCATGTAGGCAGAGGGTATGGTCTGAGCAAAGGCATAGAGGCACAGCCACTAAAGGAACTTCGAGAGCTAAACACGAAGAAAAAAGATGGAGCTGAAGAAGGGGTCTGAATCAGAAGAAATTGTATATACCCCGTTATGATAATTTTTTATACAGATTTATTTATTTATTTGAAAGTCAAAGCTACAAAGAAAGAGAGGGATGGAGAGAGAGAGATTTTCCATCTGCTGGTTCATTCCCTACAAGGCTGCTATTGCCAGGTCTGAGCCAGGCAGAAGCCATGAGCCAGAAGCTTCTTGCGGGTCTCCCACGTGGGTGGCAGGGACCCAATAATTAGGCTACTTCTGCTTTTCCCAGGCTATAACAGGGAGCTGGACCAGAAGGGGAGCAGCTGGGACATGAACTGGTGCCCATAGGGGATGCCAGCATCACAGGTGGCTTTACCTGCTATGCCACAGTGCCAGCCCCCTGTAAGTGAACACTTTTAACAGAATGCTGCCGGCTGGCGCCGCGGCTCAATAGGCTAATCCTCTGCCTACGGCGCCGGCACACCGGGTTCTAGTCCTGGTTGGGGTGCCGGATTCTGTCCCTGTTGCCCCTCTTCCAGGCCAGCTCTCTGCTGTGGCCAGAGAGTGCAGTGGAGGATGGCCCAAGTACTTGAGCCCTGCACTCCATGGGAGACCAGGAGAAGCACCTGGCTCCTGGCTTGATCAGCGCGGTACACCAGCCGCAGTGCATGGGCTGCGGCAGCCATTGGAGGGTGACCCAACGGCAAAGGAAGACCTTTCTCTCTGTCTCTCTCTCTCACTGTCCACTCTGCCTGTCAAAAAAGAAAAAAAAAAAGAAAAGAAAAAAGAGGATACTGCCCATGCTGGTGTTTCATAGCCTCCTGGATGTAGAGTCTGGATTTGAAAGTCTGTAGAAGGCTGGAGATAAAGACTGGTTCATTGTCATAAGGCAGAGGCTGAGGGATTGAAAAATGTCCACGGAATGAATGAAGGAAAGAAACCGCAGCCTGTAGTCAGTGATTGGATTTAGAGGTTGAAGGAAAAGGAGGAGTGTAGAGCCCTTGGCTGCTCTCTGAGAGGTTGGTGTTGCCATGGCCTTGGTCGTGACAGGTGGCGGGGCGGGGGGTGGTGGTGCAGCTTTTTCAAAGTCCATTTTCTCCTTACTGTTCTCTGGTTTTCCTTGTGAGTGCCGGTGTTTTGTTGATGACATCAAGTCCTTTCCAGCAAAAATTAGGAAATGTAATTTTAAGTCACCTTTAGCTGGTTGGGATAATGGTAAAATAAGTATTTTGGGATGGTCTCCAATTATTTTTTTAATTTTAGCCTTTAACACATAAGTGTCATAATTAGAAAAGCTTAACTTCCGATTATTAGATTTAGAAAAACTACTTAATTATAGTTGTAAGTTTTAAACGACTAATTTAGTTAAAACAAGCATATATTTTGACTTTATTTTTGAAAAGCAAGGAGAGAGAGAGAGAATTTGTCCATCTGCTGGTTAGCACCCTAAATGCCTCCAACAGCCAAGAGACAAGAACTCAATCTGGGTCCCCACATGAATGGCAGGGACCTGGGTACTTGAGCTGTCACCTGTGGCCGCTGAGGGTGTACAGTAGCAGGAAGCTGGGATCAGAAGTGCAGGCGCTACTCAAGTCCAAGGGCAGTGGAATGGGATGCAGGCATCCCAAGCAGTGTCTTAACCTCTGTGCCACATGCCTGCGCCCTTGACTAGATGTCTAAAGTGTGGGCTGGCGTTGTGCACAGCAGGTAAAGCTGCCACCTATGGGCATCCCATATGGGCACCAGTTTGAGTCCTGGCTGCCCCACTTCCAATCCAGTTCCCTGCTAATGCACCTGGGAAAGCAGCAGAAGATGGCCCATGTTCTTGGGCCCCTGCACCCACCTGGGAGACCTGGATGGATTCCAGGCTCTTGGTTTCAGCCTGGCCCAGCCCTGGCCATTGTGGCCATTTGGGGAGTGAACCAGCGGATGGAAGGTAACTTATCTCTCTCTGTCCCTCCCCTCCCCTTTCCTCTGTAACTCTACCTTTGAAACAAAAGAAAAAAAGAAGAGTTGCGTGAGGTATTCATAGTGAATCACTCTGAACAACCACACAAACAAACATCTCAGTGTTTGGTTTTCTTATTGAAGTTGAGAACAGCGTAGAAGAGTGAGGGAACTTGGATGGACGGGCTTTCAGCCTTACTGACAGCTCTGTGTCCTCTGCCCTCTGCCCTCTCCCCAGAATATCAGAATAATGGCCAAGTACTATACGCGGATAACAATGAAGAGGATGGCACAGCTTCTGGATCTGTCCGTTGACGTAAGTAGGATGCATCATTGTCAGAGTTGTTAGCCATTCATTTTGAGTATCCATCAACTTAGAAAAATAGAGAAAATCCATCTTGTTTGATCAAATTGTAAGTATCTTGAGTATCAAAAATGGCCTAAATACTGAGTTTATGTTTACATTGCTATTACTTAGACTAGTTGGACACTTAAATGTTAGTTCTCTGTAGATTAATGTGGAGTCCAGAGCGTGACTAAAATACGAGAGGAGGGCATGCCGGCAGCCCACCGGGTGCCAGCGCTTGCTGGAAGCGTACTGCACTCGGCGTGCATTTCAGGGCGACAGAACGGACAGCGGACAGGGAGATGGGAGTTGGCTGAGAGTGGCCTGAGGGCCATCTGTGGTGCCTGAAGGAGCTGTGACAGTTCCGCTCAGAGGGAGGCCCGTGGAACGGTCGCGCTGGAAGCTCCGTCCTTGCTTAGCTCGCTGGCTGTTCTCTGGAGGAGGGACCCAGAGTCCTGGGAGCAGGGAGGTTGCCCTGGGGCTGTGTCCTTGCCAGATGGCAGAGCAGATTCCAGCCCACGGCCCCTGTGCCATGACGTCTTCGAAAGCAGAGTAGAGCAGCTGATTGCTGACCTAAGCACAGGCTGCTGCTCCACAGGGCCGGCACTTGCAAGGTCGCAGGGCAGACTCGGAGGCAGCCCTGCTCATCCCCGGGCGTTATCAGAAGTCCGTGGTTCTGACAGTGAGCGATGAATGTGCCCCTGCATGGTCTTGCATTCTTGGCTGAAGTGTGGAAGATGCCCTCCATCAGTCTGTTTGTTGTCTGTGGTCATCCTGCCTTAATCTGTGTCTCTCTTGCAGGAATCGGAGGCCTTTCTCTCAAATCTGGTGGTTAACAAGACCATCTTTGCTAAAGTAGACAGATTGGCAGGAATTATCAACTTCCAGAGACCCAAGGATCCCAATAATTTATTAAATGACTGGTCTCAGAAACTGAACTCACTGATGTCTCTGGTTAACAAAACGACACACCTTATAGCCAAAGAGGAGATGATACATAATCTACAATAAGGGCCTTACTGCTTTAAGAAAAGAGTTAAAATTGGAAGTCATTAAAAAAAAAAAAAAGACTGTTACCCTGGTGTATATGTTGTGTTTTTTGTTTTCTCAGCTCCTTTGTCTAAAATTTTGAAATAGTAAATATGTTTGAGGCTAACTTTTGAGTATGCAATTGGTGCAAAAACGTGCCACATTTCTGTTGACTGAGCACATAAAATCTGTTATAACTTACCCAAATATGTTTTTATATCACTTGAAGACTTTTTAGCTATTATTTGTTTTCATTGAACTAACAACCATAGTAAAAATAAAAGCAGTATATGCACATTTACTTGCTATAGTTACCTTTGTTTCTAGACATTTTGTGTGGTAATGATTTAACAGGTGTTTTTAAAGTAAATTCTGTTGTACAGCTATCAATCATTTAATATAATTAAAAATCAACAGAACATTTGAGAGCATGGGGATAGAGTTGTGGTTTGTGAAGGAGCTGATACTGTGGCAGAGGCTTCTGGGCTGAATGTGTCCCCTCCCACCACTGTCTGGTGGGCTGTAGACCTAGTGTTGTTGTTTCTTGGTTTTGTTTTGTTTTGTTTTGTTTTGTTTTTGGAAGATTTATTGATTTATTTGAAAGGCAGAGTTACAGAGAGGCAGAGGCAGACAGACACAGAGAGAAGTCCTCCATCTGCTGGTTCACTCCCCAGATGGCCACAACAGCCAGGGCTGCAGCAGTCCGAAGCCAGGAGCCAGGAGCTTCTTCTGGGTCTCTCACAGGAGTGCAGGGTCCAAGCACTTGGGTCATCTTCCACTGCTTCCCCAGGCCATGGGCTGAGAGCTGGATCAGAAGTGGAGCAGCCAGGACTCGAACTGGCGCTCATATGGGATGCCGGCACTGCAGGCGGCAGTTTCACCTGCTGTGCCACAGCGCTGGCCCCTTGTATTTTTTAGGTCAGATTTCTGTCCGTGACAGTGGCTTGATTGCAGTCCCCCGCCCTTGACTTGGTGAGTTACTGACCAAGGTTGAGTATCTGGGTGTGAACACAGCTGTTTGGTGTGAATCCTCTATACAGGAGTAGGCACTGTATTTGAGGATTCTTTCTCCCTCATCTTTTGTGGTATGGGTTTACATTTAACACACAAAAGTGTTCTTCTAAGGCTTCTATGTGACTTTAACTTACTTAGAATTGATTACATCGTGAATGTTCCAAGTTTGTTATCTCGAGATCTTTAGTTCCATTATTTGAATGCTGCATAACATAATTTGTTTAATGCTTAAAAATGACAAAAAAAAAAAAAAGACTTCAGGCCACCCTCACAGTAAATGATTTAGTCTTGTTTTTTTCAGATTTAAAACATCTGCGATCAATTAGTGCAAGCAAATTTTAGAAGTGTTTTTTAATTTGATTTATTCCAGAGAAAATAGAAAAGTGAAATAATGTCATTTAAAAGATGTATAAATGAAGAAAGTGTGAGGTCTACTTTTGAAAAAACCCAAATGAAGAGAAACTAAGCATTCCAGAAACACCATTTCTCATAATTAGTTTTCCACTTAATAGTCACTAAATTGTCCCATTTCATGATCCCAGGGCTGGAGACAATTGCAGGAGCTCTGTAATACTTGTGCTCAGAGCCACTGTGAATAATGACCCATAGTACTGGAGTAATCTAATTGTTTCTCTGGGAGTCACATTAATAAAATCAACATCTGCTATCACTTATCCCTTACAAACGAACGAAAAATATGGCAAGTTTAGAAATATTAGAAGTTCACCCTAGCATAAGAATGTGCTTTTAATTTTCTTTTGAATGAAAAGGATAGAAAATAAAATCATTGTGCATTAATTTATAAGTAAAGTTGAAGCTACTTTGAATCTACCTTCTCATTAACTTCACCTTTCTAGGGACTCGTCACCTTCGGGCTTGCCAGCCCTCTGCAGTTTGGCCAGATACGTTGCTGTAGATATCAGATGCTCCTCCCTGGTCGTTAGTTCACATGCACACACTCACGTCTTTCCATGTTATGATCGGTGCCGCTTGTAACTGCGTCCCGGGGACCACATCTCACTTGACTTGACCCCAGCACATGTGTGTGTGTAAAGATAGATTTATTTAGTTGAAAGTCAGAGTCACAGAGATAGGGAGACAGATCTTCCATCCACTGGTTTACTCCCCAGATGGCTGAAATGGCCAGAGCTGAACCAAACTGAAGCCAGGAGCCCAGGGCTTCTTCCAGGACTCCCATGTAACTGGCAGGGGTCCCAGTACTTAAGATGTTCAGCCATCTGCTGCTGCTTTTCCCAGGCGCATTAGCAGGGACCTGGATTAGGAGCGGAACAGTTGAGACACGAACTGGCACCCATATGGGGTACCAGCATCATGGGCGGCAGCTTTACCTGCTTATTTTTCTGTCATAGTAATTAAGCAAATATACATATGATTTACCATGTTCTTTGCTTGATGTTACCAAAAGCATGTTAGCATAAGGTAGTAAAATATTTGAGATGTTCAGAACCCAAATCAATACTTTTAAAAAGATTTATTTATTTATTTGAAAGGCAGAGTTACAGAGAGGCAGAGAGAGAGCAGTCTTCCATCCTGTGGTTCACTCCCCAAATTGCCGCAATGGCTGGAGCTGCATCGATCCGAAACCAGGGGCCAGGAGCTTCTTCGGGATCTCCCACGTGGGTGCAGGGGCCAAAGGATGTGGGCCATCTTCCACTGCTTTCCCAGGCCATAGCACACAGCTGGATCAGAAGTGGAGCAACCAGGACTTGAACCGGCGCCCATATCGATACCTGCACAGCAAGTGGCAGCTTTACCGGCCACACCACAGGGCCAGCCCCAAAACACTTTGTTTTAAATATGGAGGAAAATAATACTTGAGTCATTATCATTAGTGTTTTGAGCAGCAGGAGAGATGATGAACCACTGTTTTTTAAAATTAAAATAACACCCTGTATTTCTGTATAATTTATTCTTGCTTAGTCTGTTTCTATAATTATCCTCAGTTTCTATTATTGAATCATTGGAAAACTTGTCCTTAAAATTCATACAAATTTGGGGCCAGCACCATGCCTCACTTGGTTAATCCTCTGCCTGTGGCGCCGGCATCCCATATGGGCGCCTGGTTCTAGTCCCGGTTGCTCCTCTTCCAGTCCAGCTCTCTGCTGTGGGCCAGTCCTTGGGCCCTGCACCCGCATGGGAGACCAGGGAGCGGCACCTGGCTCCTGGCTTTGGATCGGCACAGCATCAGCCGGTAGCGGCCATTTGGGGGGGTGAACAAATGGAAGGAAGACCTTTCTCCCTGTCTCTCTCTCTCTCAGTGTCTATCTCTGCCTGTTAAAAAAAGAAAAAAAAAGAAAAAGAAACATCTATTATCTAAAAAAATAAATAAAAATATATAAAGTAAAATAATTCATGCAATTCCATTCTAGCAATTACTAAATGTATGATGAAAGTACATATTCAGTGGTCCTCAGCTGCTGGATTAGCAGCAATAAAAACACTGATGTGTGGGTTTTTAAGAAAACCTGGGGGGCTGCCCTGTGGGGAATAGGCTAAACTACCTCCTGCGGTGCTGTTATCCCAAGTGGGCACGGGTTCATTTCTGTAACTCAAATAAATAAATAAGTCTTTTTTTTTTTTTTTTTAATTGTAAACCTGGGAACAAACTCAGAGGTGAGTTACATGTTTAAAACCAAAAACCACAGCTAAAAGTTTTCATCTTCCCAAAGCCATCTATCTCTTTAAGCCTGTTTGGTTGCTACTGCTCTGTTTTTAATTAAGACTGTTTTTTGAGCACAATTTTAGGTTCACAGCAAAACTGGGTGTAAGGTCCGGAGTTTGCACACGTTGCTGTGCACGCTCTCCCGTCATCAACGCCTCCAGGGAGTGTTGCGGGTGTGAACACGGCAAAGCTTGCACAGCACATCCTTGTCACCCCGAGGGCACAGCTCACATCAGAGTTCATTTTGGTGTGCATTCTGTGGGCTCAGCCGTCGGCCAACACGTGATGACACATCAGAGCAGTATTTGCACTGCCTCCAGGATCCTCTGTGTTCTGTTCTTCCCTCCCCTCCGCAGTCCCTGGCAACCGTTGGCCCTCGTGCGGTCTCCACAGTTCTGCCTTTTCCAGAACACCACAGAGCTGGAATCACAGGCCGGAGCCTTTTCATGTTGGCTTTCATTGAGTGACATTGAAGGTTCTCCCTGTCCCTTTTCAGAGCCCGATGGCACATTGCTTTTCGTTGTGTGGATGTGTCACGGCTGATCCATACACCTGCAGGATGTCGGCTGCCTGACAAATGTTGGCGATTACAAATAAAGCTGCTCGACCTCTGTGTGGCTTCCTGTGTGGCCACACGCTTTCAGTTCTTTTGGATAAAGCTGTTTTGTGGGCAGTAAGAAACCTTTTTGGTTTGCACCTTGTTTCAAGGGCCACTGGACTGACACGTCCCCCTGACCTCTGGTCTGTGTATGGTCACTGAGGCCATGCTTTGTTGTGTCCTGTAACCCCTGGCTCTCCAACTCGACACACCTCAGAGTAGCTGCAGGGCTTGTGACGATACAGATTACTGGGCTTCACCCCAAAGTTTCTGATGCACCTGCTCTAGGGTGAGGCCCGAGTTTCTGCTTTTAATTTCTCAGGTGATGCCAAGTCCCTTGGTGCATGGAGCACACTGAGACCCACTCCTCTTGACAAGACTTTGTTGTGACTTTGTAGTAACACTAGGAGAGTACTAGTTTTTTAAAATATATTTTTTGGGCCGGCGCTGTGGCACCAGCGTCCCATATGGGCACCTGTTCAAGTCCTGGCTGCTCCACTTCCCATCCAGCTCTCTGCTGTGGCCTGGGAAAGCAGTGGAGGATGGACCAAGTCCTTGGGCCCTGCACCCATGTCTGAGGCCCAGAGAGGCTCCTGGCTCCTGGCTTCGGATCGGCACAGCTCCGGCCGTTCGGGCTATCTGGAGTGAACCAGAAGAGGGAGGGTCTCTCTAACTCTGCCTTTCAAATAAATAATCTTTTAAAAAATTTTAAAAATACATACATATTTTTAGAGAGGCGGCAGACATTTGGTACAGCAGTTAAGATGCCACTGGGGATACCCATGTCCCGTATCACAGTGCCTCTGCGCAAGTCCCAGCTCCTCTACTGTCCGGGTCCCTGCTAACGCAAGCTCTGGGAAGCAGGGGGTGATGGCTCAAGTACTTGGGTCCCTGCTGCCCACATGGGAGACCTGGGTCAAGTTCTGGGTTACCAGTGTGCTTGTTCGCTCTCCCCCTGACTTTCAAATAAAATGAGACCTCCAGCCAGAGTGGCCTGGAGGGGGCT